CATATAAGTGCATAGTCTATGGCATGTAAAGTAGTATACGTCCTATATCCTCATAGATATTTTAATGCAAAAATTTACCCAAGCCGATGTAAAGCTTTACTGACCTTACTGAAACGAAAGCTACTTAAATATGAACGTTTTATATCAAGTCGACAAGGCAAAAATATGAAAATATTTAAATTACTTAAAGAAATCCAAGTGCACATTTCTTGGCTTGCATTGTAAAATCTCTAAGCACTCGACTTGCGGTGAGGACTGGCAGTAAGAAATACTCAACTTTTGCACCTAGCACGTGTGAAAATTACCATTTACTAAGAACTACGTGAGTTGACTTTTAACTATTTATGCAATATATTATGTAAATAGGACGGTGTAGAAGTTAAAAGTTTGTAATTATGTTCATAAAAATGGTTAATTACGTTAATTTGTACTAGAAATCGAGAATTTTTATTTTTTGGAAAATCTTATTGAAATACTTAGTCATTATTATCGATACAGAGGCCTAATCTATAGTTTTTAGATTTTTTGTCTGTCAGTCTGTCTGTCTCTCTGTCTGAGAACGCATCACGTGAAAACCACTGGACAAATTTTGTTTAAATTTGGTATGATGATAGGCGATAGCTGATCTCATTTCTGAACAAGCTACACTAAATCTTAAAACGTAACTAGCGACAAAACCGAGCGGAGCAAGTTTGAGTGACTAGTTTTAAATAAAAGTCAAAACTTAACTCTCTTCAGATTTATTGGACATATGTGTTTTAATTTTTGCATAAAGAGTCTCTCCTATGAACGTAGAAAAAAAATTCAAAACGTTGAAACCAAAAATCAAAAAAAAAACGCGCAAAAATCCAAAAAGATAGTTTTATTTAAAAGGTAGGCTTACTTTAATACTAAAACAAATTTTACATTTTACATAATGCTTTGAAATACATATATGTATTTATTCTTGATTCAAACTTAAAGATAAGCGCATATAAATTAAGAAAAATAATAAACTTAGATACTAAAATAAAAATAAAATCGGTCAAGTTAATTCGCGCACGAAGGGTTCTGTACCATCGTACATGTATTTTTGTTAAAATTACTTTTATTCTATGTATGTAATAAATTAACTTCGATCAGAGATTACGAACTTTAAAAAAAATCTTGTATTTTTTTGTTATTTTTTTTGTAATAGATGCAATAGAAACACATACTGCGTGAAATTCAACTCTCTCCCTATTACGGTTTATGAGATACAGCCCTCTGACAGACGAACGGACAGCGGAGGCTTAGTAATAGGGTTCCGTTGACATCATTCGGGTACGGCGGCCAATCTCATTGAGACTAGCCAACTGCGCAGGAGATAACATAGTGCACAAGTGTACGCGCAGACATAAGTGCACTCTCTATTTCTGTCACTCTCATACTCCGGTGGGACGACTGCTCGACACGACCAGTGAGAGTTAAGGCGCAGGACCGACGGCTTTACGTGCTCTCCGAGGCACGGGGGTGAAACACCGCCAACTTCCCAACTCCGGGCTGTTACTGAGACTTACTATACAGGAAGAATCAATAACTAAACTTGGCCCGACCCGGGACTCGAACCCAGGATCTCCGGGTGTGCAGCCGTACATGCTAGCCACTACACCACCGAGGCATATATATACCGTAGCGTGGTAGCACGGGTCGGGTGTGTTACAACACATATAACTCGAGAACTGCTTGACCGATTTTCATGGTTTTTGATTTTTTTGGATTTGTCTTCACCTCGAATAGCAGAATAACTAATTAAAACATCTGAAAATTGACAAAAAAAAATAGAAAAAATATATTCCATACTAACCGCACCACAATATTCCATACTATCACAACGCACCTGGGCACGGTACCTGGGGTAAACCTGAGGTAAGCGAGGGTGAGTCGCTAGTTTAATATAAAGGCCAATTTTATTTTAATAAAGATAGCTTAAATATGTCTTGATAATGTAGAGAATTAGGTACTTAAAAAACTCAAAAACTCCAAAATCCATACTCCATACTAATATTATAATTGTGGAATTAACTCTGTCTGTTTACTTTTCACTCTTAAGCCATTGTATAGAATCCTATAATCATTTAAAAAATACGAAAATGCCACCAAAGTACCAAGTATATTTGTTCAAATTGATTTTAAACATTTTTTATAATATTAAAAAGTTTTATAATTGAATATGGCAATATTATTTATTTAATTTTAGGTGTCGTTATTATAATTATTACATTTTTTTCGATATAGCCTAACTTTGCTTCCCACCTTACGTATCACGCGAGCGAAGTCATGGGCAAAAACTAGTATATTATGCATAGTAAAGTTGATTGTTGGTATAAGAAAATATGGATATATGTATTTTGCGGTTCCGCAAAAAGCTTGAAATAAAAGCCGGAATCGGCTAGGAGAACATATATATATATATATATATATATATATATATATATCCTGCCCGTTTGCCCCCTTAGTCCCATAAAAAATAATGAAAAACTAAATTTTATACTGCACCAGATTTAAAATTCTGAACATATTTGTAATGTAACAATATACTGAATAAAATATAACAATGCTACATTTAAGATTCTCGTTTCCAGACTCGATACCGGAGACGTATTGAGCACGTATCGTAAACAAACCAATCTAAGTTACTCACTTCGCTGGCAACGCTAGAATTGTTACACCGTTGTATCTTTATTTTATATCCAGTACCTGGGCGACCGAGCTTCGCTCGGTGTTTTTGGCCAAAAAAAACATTAAAAAAACAAACAAACTAAAAATTTGAATAAATACAAAAAAAAACAGAAGTAAAAACTTTGTATCCGACCGGGATATGAACCCAGATACCTGTGGTTGTCAAACTTGCGTATTGGCCGTTTGCCCACGATGCTTATGTCCTAACGTGCGAATTCTATATATAAAGAAATATATACAAGAATTGCTCGTTTAAATATATTAGTCTATACATCTATACACATAATAAAACTGTAGAAGTCAAATATCTATACATAGAAAAAATGCTAAAAACCGAGTTAGGGGAATGTAAGAAGAAAAATAGAACAAATCCAGATTTTTTCTATTTTTTGTTTATCTGTCTATTTGTCTGTTTGTACGGGCTAATCTCCGAAACTGTTGGACCAATTTAAATAAAATTTTGCATGGTGGCACCTTATATCTCTGGAACAGACAGAAAAAATGCTAATAGATATGGCCTCTGTATCGTTTCTATTTCAATAAGATTTTCCAAAAAATATTTAATATACAGATTCGACTCAGAATTTTATTATATGTATAGATATAAATTGGTAGAAAATTATTTTATTACTGATGTCGGTGTAACAGACGTGCATTGTATGTACTCAATCTCAAACTTACTAAACATGTCCGAACATCAATATGGGCTGGATTCCTTTCCAAATATTTTCAATTCGTTCTGAATACTATGCAAGTTTACTTTGTGAAATGTATGGCTCTACCGTGCACATTGCACATACTTTTATTGAAATATTCGTATGTAAGTTTGTTTATCCTATGTTTTTTTCTAAATTGATCAAATATTACAATTTTGGATACAATTTAAGAAAAAAACTTTAGATGTCTTATTCTTAAAAGTATATAACTGATATGTACCTTATTTTAGATTATTTAACAAAACTTGATGTTGAGGAAAATTGCAATTTTTGAAGTTATACTTCTTTTGAGACGTTTGGAAAAAATATGAGAGTAACATTTTACGATGCACGCACACCGACAGCCAAAAAGCGACATGACGAAGTTAGCTGCATTGCTTTAACAAACAGAGAGTTGTGACATTTGAGATGAAATCTTTAGCTATTTTTGTTCTGTTACGCCAAAGAAGTATAACTTCTTACGTGCGTATATACTCGTAAGTACAAACAATTTTTTTTTAATAAACATTTTAGCATGTCTTGTAATATTTTTTTTGAAGTTCAATCAACCTTTAGGCAAACGGATTTTACTTTAATAATAAGTAATGATGTTCTTGTGGCTTTAAAGTAGGAAAATTTTAATAAGTATAATATACTTATCTCTAAACAATATCACCGATCCAAACCATAAAAGATTGATTGGATCGTCGTCTTTTGAGAGGATTAATTACAGCCGTTGAAGCCTAAACAAAGCATGAGAAGATCCCTAATATATAATGTATTATAGTAACGGGTAAATTCTATCCCTAAGATCCGGTGTTTACGTGATAGCTTTCTGACCCTTCCCAAATAACACACTATAGTACAACTTATATCGTAAAATATTTTTGGGACTAAATTAAATAGATACGTGCTTAAAATTTTCATAACGCTAATAAAAATAATTAATTAATAAATAAATATGATGGGACATTAACACACAGCACCATCTAGTTCCATGGTAAGCTGCGAGACTTGTGTTATGGATACCAGATAGTTGATACACTACCATATATAACGTTAAATACACACATATTATAAATAAATATAAACACCCATGACTGGAATACAAACTTAGTGCTAATCACACAAATGAATGCCCCCAGCGGGACTCGAACCCTTGACTGCTGGTACAACTAGTAGGGTCACTACAAACTGAGCCAAACGTATCGTCAATTAAATCTATCTATCATATATAATATCTATCTCAATATTTAAAATACATAAATTACAATATAATGAAAGCTAAACCATGTACATATTTCATTAATTAAATCTGGAGTTTCATGTTTTTGTTCTATGTTGACACAATGTTATTGACATACTTTAGATGTTTATATTTGCGTCACTTGAAAAACAACGCCTCAGACTGTTTGCTTTCTCCCCTAGTTGTGTGATGTTCACGATTGTCAGTAACAGATATACGATCGTACAAATACAAGAAAACTTTGTGTATTTCAATAATTCGTCGTAAATTATATAAAATCAAATTTAAATACTTTAAAAATGTTACAAAAGTTGTATATTCTAATTTGTTTCTATCCACTGGTTAGTGCAATTAGAGAGATGATAAACTTAAACAAAATTTGCGATATTGGTAAAAGTAAGCAGTGCTACGTCAAAGAAAATCTGGCTTCCCGAGCACACAGCCCAAACCAATTAGCTGTCAACGTAGTAACTAATACGCTTTACTTCAGCTTTGATTCCGGCCAAGGCGAGTACATACCAGCCACACTCAATATTGACACCAAAAGGTTAACCGTTCTCAAAGGAGTGAAAGACGCTTTTGCCATAGCAAGTGATCCAGTAAACCATGAAATTTACTTTGGTGGTAATCATGGCATTTACAGATACAACCCCACTCTGAATAGTTTAAAGAGACTCAGTGTAAACAATTTAGATATTTGGTGGCTCCAAGTTAAATCTAGAATATATTTCATCAAATTTCCAAGTCTCAAAATGTATTATTACAAAAATCGATCACTAAGACCAATTCCCGAGCTCCGAAATTCAACTGTAAACCAATTTGTATTAGACTCTGAAGACAATATATTCTTTTTCAATAGTACGGGACTGTTCGGACTTAAGAAGGGGTCAGATGAAGTAATATTTCTGAGAGATAATCCTAGGTTTCTTGGAATAGCATCCGATAATGCAGGTCACGTCCACCTCTGCAGTGAAGACGGTATCTATGTTATCAATGAAATTCTGATGAGGGTAAAAAGAATTGTCAACGTCCAAGGAGTGCTAGGTATTACTTTCGATAAAGACAATAATCTCATTTATTCAGACTCGCATGAAATTGTTCGACTAAAACCTACTTCAAAGGACGATTATTACGATGCCGATAAATCTGTTAACTAATTTTATATAAAAGTTAACATATTATTATTCATTTTATTTAAAAGTTAATATATTAAGTTAATATAATTTCAAAGTTACAAGTAATTTATTTAAATCTTATAATGATATAGCTTCTTATTAATAATAATTTTATTATTATATATAATAGCTATCTACATAGTAACTTTTATAGACATATATCCTGTAATTGATAAATATAACGTTCCTTTAAGCATAAGGAAAATAAAAAAATTAAAATATAACAATATCCATTCAGCCATTCTCAATAATGAGAAATTAAAAAAAAAAATAACAAAAAAACATACATCTAATATGTCCCAAAGTTCTTTTGAATTACGTGGTTTATAATTAATTGTGTAAGGAATTTTCTAATTGAGTTTTTTAAACTGTTATTAAATATTTTGTTTGTTAACATTTTTGACAAGTATTTTCATTGTTTTATTCTTATAAAGTGTCGTTATTTGAACTAGTAAGATTTCCTTTCATTGTTGCAAAATAATATAAAAAAATTCTACTTATATTTGTAGTACTAAACATTGTATTGATAATATCTTCTTCTTCTTCTCCCTGCCCATTTCCCAATCACTTGGGGTCGGCGCAGTACATCTTCTGTACTGCTGATAGGATTTGGCAAAAGTTTAACGACCGGCCGCCTGCCTGACGTCAACCCACCCTCCTTGGGAATGCTATTGTCTCTCTTTGTCTGAATGGTGTCGCGGAAGTCTTGTAATTATTATGCACTTTCGATTTTGTTGTCTTTTAAAACGTTTTTATACTATTACTTAATTTTTAATGTTAATTTCGGATATATTTTAAAACTAGCATTGCCCGCGGCTCCGCCCGCGTTTAGATTACCAAAAACTAAATTCTTAGGTTTTACATATTAGTATACTCTTACAATGCAGTTTTTGTATTTTTTGTCAGAAATGAGATATTTTCCCGCGGTAAAAAGCTATCACCATACCAAATTTCATAAAAACCAACCTGTGGTTTTTCCGTGATGCGGTAACAGATAGACAGACAGACAGACAGACAAACAAAAATTCTAAAAACTATAGATTCGGCGTCTATATCGATAATAACGTCTATTTCAATAAGATTTTTAAAAAATATTTAATGTACAGATTCGGCTTAGTTACAATTATTTTTTTTTTATGTATAGATAAATTTTAGATTAATTTATTATATGTATAGATAAATTTTGAATTCACCATAAATTTTGTTTTGACGTTGTCAAACTTTTTCTAAAAAAAAATTGTACTGATAATGTATACGAGCGTTATTGCGCATGTACATGTCAGCACAACTGAATGTCCTGGGTTCGACTCTGTGGTCGGGCCAAGTTTAATTATTGAGTTTTTCTGTTAAGAAAGTTCCAGTAACAGCCCGGAGTTGGAAAGTTGGCGATGTTTTACCCCGTGCCTCAGAGTGAATTATCGTCCCATCGGAATTTGCGATTGAAAGGAAAGTAACGGATTGATATATCGGCATGTTTTTTGGCATAGAAATACTATATAAACTAGAGACTAACTTTATCCTAACTTAAACTAACTTTCATCCCCATTTTCACTGCCTTAAGTGGGTTATGATTTCCGGGATAAAAAGTATCCTCTGTTCTTTCTAGGCTCTCAAACTATCTTTATACCAAACTTCATCTAAATCAGTTCAGTAGTTTTAGAGCTTACAAACAAACAAAAAAACAAATTTTTGCTTTTTTAATATTAGAATAGAAGAATAGATTATATCAAAAAAAATTCATTGAGTATAGTGTATTCATTACAACCTATTCCGTGTTCATACTATACGTACCAATCTAGATGGCGAGACGGAATGCTGTTATTAAATACCTTACGATATTCAGCATAGTAACGATGCATAGCTTCTCATCTGAGCATTAAAATATATCAAAAACAATAATATTATGTCTCTATAGAATTACTAATATACGGTTCGAATTTAAATACCAAAACTACACTAATATGTCTAGAAAATAAATAAAAACTTTTTAACAAAAAAATAAAAACCGACTTCAAACAAAAGCACTAAGTCGGTGTGCTTCACTTTGTATGGGCTGGCACCGATTTCAAAAATATTTGATTAGGTATGTATAGTAAATGAAAACTACCAATCAGTTATTTTTTACTTTTTAGTGCTTTTGTTGGAAGTCGGTTTTTATTTTTTTGTTAAAAAGTTTTTATTTTTCCCTCTTTTGTGTAGACAGTAGACAGTAGTAGCAAAGTAAGGATTCTAACGTGTTAGGCTTGTCAAATCAAACAAAATAAGCCCAAACTCAAAGTATCTACTATTAGCCGTTGAAGAGTTCCACCTATCCACCTTCTTGCCTTGCCATCAGATCAGGTCAACAACACCGAACCACTGTACTATCAACGGAAATAGAAATACTTGCAAAGTTTCAAGTCAATATGACAATTAGAAGTAGGTTAAATTCATCATTAGTTGTTTTTCCACCCTTAGGGGTGGTATTTTTTTTTTGAAATTTAAATGGAACCAATCTGGAAGTATACCCTTTCAAACAAAACAAAAATTGTCCAAATCGGTTAATAAATGACGGAGTTCTGAGGTAACAAACATAAAAAAAAAACATACAGTCGAATTGAGAACCTCCTCCCTTTTTGAAGTCGGTTGAAAAAATTTGTGTGTATTCAGCCCTTTTTATCGTCCCACTGCTGGGCACGGGCCTCCCTTCAGTACGAGGGGAATCAGGCCATAGTCCACCACGCTGGCCAAGTGCGGGTTGGCGGACTTCACATGTCTTAAGAAAACTTGCTAAGTTCTCTCAGACATGCAGGTTTCCTCACGATGTTTTCCTTCACCGTAAGGCAAGTGGTAATCATGTTAGAAATGATTCGCACATGAAAATATCAGAGGTGCGAGACCCGGGATTTGAACCCGCTTCACTCGGTTTCTCAAGCGAGCGCGTTACCACTGGGCTACCACTGCCTTTAAATATATTTTTTAATTTGATTTATTCCTTGAAATATAGAAAGTATCAATTATTTCAATGCAAATTTAACTTCTTGTAATATTCCCTCAACGACCGCGGACACGCCGGCGTTACATTTAACAATAGATTTCTTAGAAATTTTATTAATTTCTTAGAAATGTACCTACATGCGATATAGGGATTGGATATGTCATATATAAAAAGTCTATCTTCATTTCAATTCTCTTGTTAATTTACAAATGACTTTAAAGTGGGCCAGTTTAGTACAGATTACTTCAAAATCAAATTCAAAATATTTTATTCAGCATTAATTTTTTTTTTACTGAACGTCATGAGTCTACTATACTTCGCCAATGTCACGTAGAAAAGAAAATCTAAAACTATCTTTTAATAGTTTATTTTTATCTCTATCTCTTGTAAGGCCATGAGAATAAGACTCTGACTATCTCGATTATCGATATCGATATTGAGATGTCGATGATGTGATCGATTGATTTTGGTGACACTTTAACTCTACAAACCAATATACAAAAAATTGTGTGTATATCCAAAAAGCTTTTCATTCATTATAATTACAATGACAAAGGAATGTCAAGGAGTTTTATATGTTCATCGAAACGATAATAATGTGCCACAGAGCCAATTAATTTGTACACGAGGAAGTTTGTTTCATTATAATTGCAGAATTACAAAGAAAATTATTATGCATGGGAAAATAACTGTTTTATTATGTATTTAAAATTCATCCTTTATATGCTTCATGCAAAGCAGGGCCGAATTAACCGGGGGCCCCCAGGCAATGCATTTCTCGGGGCCCTTTCACCCTTTTCTAACTTATTAAAATACATTTTTCGTAATTACGCTGTTAGTTAGATTTCATAGAAATTTAACTGTTGCAATTGTCCTCATGGTGGAATTCCCAGCAATTTTTTATTTTTTTTAAATTAAATTTTCACTCGATGATACATTTTTAATTTCTTTTTCTTCGTGCGTGGGGCCCCTAGCCGATGCGGGGCCCATAGGCAGTTGCCTAATCTGCCCTATGGATAATCCGGCCCTGCTTATAAGTATTATATACATATATAGTAAACATGAAAACTTTAGCTTATATTATTTTGGCTTACTGGCGGTGTTGTTATGAGTAATATACGAGTATGTACTTTAAAAATATGATAAGTAGTGAGTGATGTTACCATTGTGTTTGAGGTTTTCAAATAAAATGTTCTTCTGAGTGATTTGACATTCATTGGAAAATCTCACTGGAACTAGTCAATTATAGTGCAAAAGTATGAGCACAAATGCACTCTTTATACCAGTTACCTTCAAACTCCGGTGGGATGACAATTCTACACGACCGGTGGATAAGGTGCAGGACTAAGGCGTTACATGCTCTCCGAATCACGGGGATGAATAAAACACCACCTAATTCCCTACTCGGAGTTTGTACTTAGAATTTCTTCACAAGAACTCAATAACTAAACTTAGCCCGACTCGGATCTCTAACCCAAGAATTCTGTAGCTGCAGCCGTACATGGTAGACGCTAGACCACTCGGACTAGATTATAAGACTCTGTAGGCGGAATGAAGATACAAAGATTCTAATTTTGGAATAATTTATTTCATTCATAACCTCACGATCACTATAATTCGCCTAACAAGTTGTATAAGGCGAATAAAATTACCTACTCTGGAATCAAAACCACTATCAAATATAAGATATATAGTAAATATTTCATATCTTAAACCTAATTCCTTACCGAAGATGTAGTAACTAAGCCGCTCAGTCGCCTGTAAAGCCGATTTTGAACGACTGTAGGTCGTACTACATACATGACTTAGCACCTGACATTTATTTCCATTACTTTCTACAAATCCGTTTGAACTAATGCTTATTGATGTACATATATAGGTGACCAGAAACTCACCCTTACCCCGCTTGGGTTCAACTTTATTGTAGGTTTAATCAGAGATGAGATATTTTCCCGCAGTAAAAAGTATCTTATATGTTGACTCGGATGACCAGCTATCATCA